AGTTGGCGGTTCATTCCGCTGTGGTGACCCCGAATTAATAAAGGGACTAAGCCGACAAGACAATGAATGAATGAATGTATCATAAATAAATATATATGTTTAAAAGGAATAGCACCATATTTTTACATGTCATATTGGCATAAATTGAATTTCTATTGTTTAAAAGCATGTTCATTTGTCGAATCTTCTTTTTTAAAGTTGAAAAGTTTTGTTAATATGCAAAATATCTAAATTATATATGCATTCATTAATTTTTTTCAGCTTAGTCCCTTAGTTATCACGGGTCACCACAGCAGAATGAATCATTAACTATTCCAGCATATGTTTTACGCGTCGGATGCCCTTCCAGCCGAAATCCAGTACTGGGAAACATCCATACACTCTTAAATTCACATGCACTCATACACTACGGCCCATTTTGTTTACCCAATTCACCGATACCGCATGTCTTTGGATTGTGGAGTAATATATATTACTCTATTACTGTGTTTCTCTGAATTAATTTAAATAGAACTGCTACAGTATTGCAAGTAACTGTAACTGTGTGCGTGTGCATGCCTACTACTCTTACTTTGTTGTACACATGCATAAATGTGAATTCAATGGGGATGTAATAGCAGAACAATATTGAACGTATTTCAGTTTTCTGCCTGTAGACATTGACTCTGATCAATATTATAGTTCCAGGCTTTTTTGCGGCTCCATTTCAATTTGTTCTTGATCATAAAACAGGACTTTATATGTGGAGAACAGTATGACCTGGGCCACCCTCAGCTCTAAAAATATCAAATATTCACGTTATTGCTGTTTCTGAAATAATCCCGTGATTTCATGCTCCCTGAGAGAGTGTTTTACTGTATAAGGTTCGGCATGAGTTCAGACGGAGCTGTATTGTCTGTTCTGAAATGAGAGATGAGGGGATTGTTTTATTTTACTTCCATTTTTATAAAATACAAAAAAAAAAAAAAACACTTGAACGGAAAGGGAGCTGAAGAAATTATGTTTCATCCGGCTCAATGAGCTTTAATCAAAAAGCATACAATGCAGACTATTCAAGAGATGAATCCAGAACAATCCTGGAAAGCATAGAACATCTCCAATATACTCATAAATAATCCCACCATAACAAAAGACTCTAAAATCCATGGTTCTAAAAACACAACTGCAGACAAAGCCTGCCTGATGAAAAATGAGCACTTGCGATGAATAATTCCATCGTTCCACAATTCATGCCGAAATTTTTGTAGGTTTAATTCCCTTAATGAAGATTTCATTCCTGAAAAAAAGTTAACACAGACTTCTTGTTTGATCTGTGTCTGATAGGCTGCCATGATGCAAAGACATGGAAAAAAATAGGTTATTTAATACAACGATGTGTATGAAGGAAACACTCTGGAGAAAAAAAAGTAGGATGAAGAAAAATAAGTCTCTACTTTCATCATCCCAGTGGATGTAATGTGTGAAGCTCTTTTTATATGAGCCGTGCTTTAAATTCTCAAGATGTCCAATTACATCTGCTGTTGTTCTGCCCTTTTACTCAACAGCTGACCATCTTCACACTCTGTTACTCTCTGACTCGTGGGTTTTTCTCTTTATTTGATGTTTTAAATTTGAATAGGAATAAATCGGTGGTATAAATGACGTACACACACACACACACACACACACACACACACACACACACACACACACACACACACACACACTCAATATTTAGTTACTTAACACTGCTATGTGTGCTCAAACCAGGGGGGATTTAACCAATAAGCGAGGTAAACAGCCACTACAGATCAAAATCATCTGAGTAATTTAATAAATTACATTTGGTTCATTAATTAATAACAATAACTAAATTAAGTTATTACTACTCAGGTTAATGAGACAATGAAAGTATAAACTAGGTGATGATTGAGGACTGAAGCTGCAGTCACAATAGAATTTGAGCTTGCGAAATTCTGTTGTATGGTGCTGCGAAAAGGGGCGGGATTAAACGATAGTTAGACATTAAAAAAGCAAGCGATTGGTCCATATTTTAAGTTTCTGTCCAAAGAGGTCATATTTTAATCCTCGATTGGTCTCACGCAGTCAAGTGATGCATTTTTTTTTTTTTTTTTTGCAAAATAGCGAACTGTGAAACTTATCGCACAAGCTTGCATTTCCTATCTTACGCATTCACGTGCGTATGAATGGAAGTCTATGGGGAGAAAAGTCCAGTGTGACCGCTGCTTTATGATGAACACCTGCTGTTGTTAAGTAGAAACACAGAAGAGAAACACAAAACTACATATAACCTCAGTCACAGACTTAGATGAAATCAGCTGAAATATTTTACTTTGAATCTCTCAAAATCTCAGCAGAGGATCAAGTCGATCAATAAGCAACTCCACAAACAGCAGATTTACTTGTTACTAGCCTGTTTGCCCTTATTTAAAGAGGGACCAAATACGCTGTGAACTGAGTAAATTTTACTCAGGATTTTGTTGTGTAGGGTCCCGGGGAATAAGGGGGCCCCGACCAATGCCATGAAGCTTATATTAAACTTATAATATGTTGTAAAATGTGTCTTTAACTGTTAAGATTTTAACTTTATTACTTCTTTTCAAAACCAGGGGGCCATGAATAATGGAAAATTCCTCCCATACTGGACATGCGTGATGTGTGAGCGCTTCTACGATGCTACCAGTGCCAGTCTGTTGCCAGCAATCAGAGTAGAGGTAGGTAGAGTGTGCAGGAGCGAGAATTTTAAGAACATAAAAAGAGTAAGAATAGGTACACCCCTCACAATTCTCTCTTTTAAATTCATATTTTTAATAGGAAGCTATACAATATTATATTTGTGCATATACAATATTATATATCGTACATTAGATTAGTCAGTACTGAAGCCAAATCTGGAGCTTATCTAAGAAAATAACTTATGATAACGGTCCAAAAACTAGTACACCCAAATATATGTTATAGAAAAATATTAAATACACATTTGAAAATCAAGAGAAGCTATTTTTTTTTTATTTAATTTAAAATGTTTAGGTTTAAGTTTTTTTTATTAAATTTGATTATATTCTTTTTAATTTCTAAATGTGTTTAGTGACTAAATATTATTTTAATAAATATATATGTTTAATATATTTGTTTCATTGCAATGTCTCAAAATACATTGCCTATAGTCACTGAGAAATGGATAAAAACATTCATTTTCAAAATTGGGTGCACTCGGTTATGCTGTGCACTGTGACACCGCGATTCTGCTCTCTGGCTGAAACACCTGTCAGATGATGAGCGCTGTGTGTTTGTAAAGTGATCAAAGATCGATCAAATAATATAAAATATCCTATTGAAAAATAACGGTGGCCAATTTACAAACAGCAATTATTCAATTCATATGAAAAATGGTGACAAGTTTGATTGATTGTAAATTAAATTTGTTTACATTTTTTGATTATTTATATTGAAATCTAATCACAAAAATGGCCAATTAACCATACATAGTTTGTGAAACTGTTTTTTATTTGTGATTTTTTTATTGCATATAACTTCTAAATATTAAAATATTTAAAATACTTTAAATATTATATATACTTTTTTATATTTATTCATTTAAATGCTTTTTAACATGCATTTTATTTAAAAAAATTAAAATAAAACTAATTTACAGAAAAAAAAAAAAAAAATATATATATATATATATATATATATATATATATATATATATATATATATATATATACATACAAAAGAGAACAATTTGAGTGTCAATGCTAGGGCCCCATACTTGGAATTGCTTAGGGCCCCCAAATCACTAAGTCTGCCATAAACACAAAACAAACTGCTATTGATTTGTTTGAAACTATTTTCAAAATAGACATAAACACTCAACAAAGTTTTTATAAATAAATGTTTATTATTTTCCTGTTGCTTTTAAAATCAATTATTATAAATGTTTGCAATTAGTTAATAATCATTATGTCAACATTTTTCACGGATAGTTCCAGCTTTTTTTTCTGTCCTGTCCCTGTGTTATAGTTATAGACTATTAAGAGTTAAAGCACGTTTGAAACCTCAAAAGCCAAAGGTATGGTGTAATCATTTTCGCCAATAGAGGGGGCTGATTGATACACTGATTACCTGGTCACGCGTTTATATTTTTCCGTGAAGGACTGAACGTGAACGCTATCAAAACAGACATCTTCAAGGTTGTAACATGCTGCCTATTCACTGTAAATCTAATTAATACTGTCCGTGTGTACTTTTATAACACGTCTAAACAGCACGTGTGATTGCTTTGCCCGTAATTGTCAATGTTGTCATAAGTCATAACGCAATACCAAACAAACATCCTATCATGTGGATTTAAGTACACCAATATAAACATAATCAGTTAAATGAGTGAAGCTGCACTATTATATTTGCAAAAGTGCCTCGAATAATGAAGTCGATAGAAAATGAACAGTTCTAAAAGTATAAACATAAAATAAAACCCATTTTAGTTACTGTAGGCTACACCCAAACTTGTCAGTCAGAATGTTTCAGTTTTGATTACTGTTTCAGTTATCATTTTCCTGTGTATAGATAGATAGATAGATAGATAGATAGATAGATGGATGGATAGATACTGTAGATAAGGGGATAATCAAATATTTATCGCAAGTAATTTACATTTCTTTAAAGTTTAATTTTTAAGCGGTTGAAGCTGCTAAATATAACTTAAATTTTTATTTTAATGCCATAAAACAATTAAAATATCAAACAAAAACAACTGGACCCATTTGAGTTGCTTATCTCAAATTAATATGCAACACTTCAGTGGCCATGAAATAAACAACACAAGATGACAAGAGAGTGACCTTGGCTGGTCCACTGAAATAATTGGACTAAATGAAAGCATTATGATTTATTATTAACACACCTGATATTATTATCGCAGTCTTTAACCTCTTCAAACCAGCAAGATAAATTGATGACCACACAGCAGCTGTGTTCCAGAAGTAACTGTGTTTTACCTGATGGCAGATCTCGTGCACCACCACCATGGTGAGCTCCATCTGATAGGAGAAGGAGGAGACGTCAGGATCCAGTAAGATCTTCTGCTCCACAAACACACTGAGGCCCCAGTTCTCCATGGCTGCATACGGATGTTTCGGCACTGCCAGCAGATCTACACGCACACACAGAGACCAAAAGCCAAGATCAATGATGGGGAACCACAATTGGGAAACAAAGTAAACAGCAAGTAAGCATTTGGAAAAATATTTCGCAAACAGCAGCTGGTCATTTTACAAATGTGTAAATAATGACAGCAGTTTTTGCAAACTGTTATCGTTTACTCTCGTTTAAATGGATGACTTAGTAATGCAGGTAGCAGTTACTCCGCTTTAAGTTTGCATTCACATCTTTTTTTTTGAAAATTCTTGAACATTCTCTTAATATTATAAAAAGTACTGACAAAACATCATTCATTCATTTTCTTTTTGGCTTAGTCCTTTTATTAATCAGGGGTCTCCAAAGCGGAATGAACCGCCAACTTATCCATTTTTCAACATTATTATATTTAATACTCTTTTTTTTCATGACCGGATATAGTATTATATTTCTAAATATAGCTATTTATAAAACATTTTTTTCTAATTCTACAAACTGATTGGCTTATAGCTGTATTGACGAGAGGGGTCTGGATGCAGATCTGCAATGCTTATAATGGGCTTACCTAACCCCAACCCTACCCCTCACCGACCGTGACGTTACTAGCTCCATTGAGTGCATTGTGTCTGACAATGAATCACTGGGAAAGGCAATCTCAGCTTGCATCATAAAGGCTGCATCCAGATACTATTGGAATTGGCAGACACTTATTTAGGACACTGATGCATGCCTTTAGAGTAGTCTATTGTGAAATTTAATTTGTTCAGTCTATACTGAAAATAAATATTTGGTCGCAGTCATCTGTTAAGAGCAAATAGATTTGACTGCAATGTTAACATTAGGTTAGTATAAATAATGCTGGAAGAAAACTTGGTTGTTGTTGTTGTTTTGACTGATCTACTTAGCATCTTTATATTGTTGTTTGTTAAATATAATTGCTCAATAATGACATTTGATATAAAAGTGTGATTGGTGGTTGATGTTACATTTTTTTAACCATTAGATGGCAACACACACCTTAAATTAATTAGTCATTTAGTTCAAGCTGAGTCACCCGCTTTGGATGTTATCACTCGATTGAATGGCCATTATAAGTGTTTATCAGCTGGTAGATATGGGCCAGCTTTTATCAGCTATCCACATGGTCAATCAGCTATACTAATAGAGAAGACTTCAGATCCAGATCTGTTTTACATTACTGTGACGATTGGGTTTAGGGTTTGGAGTTGGGGTAGATGTTAATTAAACACGATTAATCGGAAATTTTGTAAATAATATAAATAATTCTCACTAACTTTCAGCCACAGTCATATGTGATCTATAGTTGATTAACCATGTGAAATCTTTAAAGCTTATATAAATATTATAACCACAAGCATGAGGACAAATAATAATGTAAGTAATACTAAATAATATTAATAAAACAATGCAAGATTTCACAGTTTTACTCCTATAGTGTGTTGTGTTCCACAATGTGACAGAGACAACACAGCACACACTAAATCACACACACTTCAGATTTTCATCTAGACCTTAGGATGACCATGGAGGAAGATTAAGATCAACATGTTGATTATTTGCTATTCACGATTGAAGGGCCTCCGATATTCTACTGAGCAAATTTGATCACTCGTCACACACCTTACACCACAGGAGAACCTAATAAGTTCAACCAGCACAATCAGAAAATTAAATAGGATTAAAAATCTAATGTTTTTCATGTATAATAAATATCATAATATATTTAGGTGAAGGGAGTGAACAGAGTGATAGTGTATTAAATCCCAAATACCCCCTCTACATGTATCTCCTGATGAAAAACTTCTAAATGAAAGGAACTGAACATTTAATTTGCAACCAATAGTAATATGACACTTAATCTCATACCTTGCTCATTCATAATTAGTTTTTATTTGAAATAGACAAATTGTTTTAATGTTAATCCATTATTAATGGGAGCTCGATCAAATCCTAGATATCACATGATGTAGAGTTGTCCTTACTGTATCTAAAATGCATTGATTGCATTTTGAGCCAAAATCAGATATAGCAGAACAGCAAGACACAAGACACTTGTTAATCATATTTCCCCCCAAATGTCTGTTTTCTTGAAGTCAGTGTATCAGTGACACAGCAGACGCGGATCAGCTGTTTTAAACGCCTCCTCCATCAGCTCAATTCTGAAAGCTTTCATATGCCAATGAGAACAGAAGCAGCTCAACCTCTGGCGCTGTTAAATCCACATCTTATACTCAGTCGGAGGAAGAGGAACTGTTGAAAGCTGTAACATGATTATCCGGCGGGCTGCTGTGTGTCTTATTTGCATGTTTGGTGAATGTGTCTGAGAGCAGTCTTAGAGTTTAAGAGGGAAGCTGCAATCTTTGTGGCCACTAATATTACATCTGCAGGGACGTGGTGGAAGAATATGCTTTAATGATGAACAGAAAGTCAGACGCTTCACTGATAATGAGAAATCCCCATTAGGATTGTACATTCACACACGATTAATGTTTTACCTTTACAGAGATGAAGATGGAGTGACGAGTTCATTCAAAAGACAAAGAACAATGAAAAAAGCAACGCAAAGGTGAGAGACTGAAAGAGCTGCTCTAATAAATGACTTTAGCGAGTAAATCAGAATCAGCCAGTGCAGGTTTAATTGGCCATTTTTAATGCGCTTTATGGATGAGAAACTTGATGCTCTTTTAATTGGGCTTTTATACAGACTCTTGCTGCTATTAGAGAAAGACAGAAGTACAGTACCATGGATTGAGATGTTTACCAAGCATGAACCAAAGGATCTTGACACCTCATTGGCCACATCCAGTTGTATGGGTAAGTTAATATGATTATCTATTAGTAAATAATGTAAGATTTTGGGTGAGTAAAACAGAACGTCTGAACAAATGGGTTACCTACAGTCATTAAGATGATATTTAACAAATATTACCGAAATATCGCAGGATTTGTGTATAAAGTACTTAATGGCATGAGATTGCTTAACTAAAAAAATTTAAATAAAGTAAATAAATAAACAACAGAAAAAGCCATAGCAGAGTAACACACACAGTTGTTTTAAATGAATTGATTGATTAAATAATTCAATGACTTACTCATAATTATTACTAAATTGTGTATGATCGATTTAATGTATGAAGCTGATTGGTTGATTCTTGTCATGCGACGTGGTGTGCTTATGGCATTTTAAAAAGTTGAGAACTGAAGCTCTAAAGTTGAGTACATGTGCAATTAAGTAGAACTGGCAAAATTTCTAATACACATAATGAGCTGCCTTGTTTTGTAGCACCTGATATACAAAAGATGTATAAAAGTCCTTGAATCCCATTGACATCCACAATATTTTGGTATTGCTATTAGTCTGCTATTTAAAACAAAGCAAGAGCACTAGATAGTATGCATATGTTTGAAAGAGTGTGCAACTCTGTATCGCGCAATTTGCTCAGGTCACTTTTTTGGCTTTTATGTGAACACTTTGTTTGATTTAATTCTGACAGAAACAAAAAAGTGTCCATGTAAGTGTACCCTAGTAATTTCGGCTATATAGGGTACCACTGATGTATCTCCAAGAATAACAAAGTGGTGTGATGTACTAGTATTCCACATCCATACGTCAACTGTTTCCAAAATTCTCCACCAGACAAGTTGAACTAAAGAACATGGATCAGTTTGTTTAGCAATCAAGTAAATCATTCAATAGAAATAAAGGGCTCTATTTTGACGATCTAGGTGCACAGTCCAAAGCTCAGGGCGCAAAAGCATTAAGGATGTGTCAGAATCCTCTTTTGCTATTATATTAAGGATATTAAGGACAGAAAAATATACTTTGCGCCACAGCGCATGGTCTAGCAGGGTTGAGCTTATTCTCTCAGTAAATTATAGGTGTGTTTTGCGAATAAAACCAATCAGAGTCTCATCTTCCAATCCCTTTAAGTGTCAGTTGTGTTGTGCCATGGCACATGTGCTATTTACATGGCGGACTTTGTAAGTAGAAAAACGGAACGCTTTACTAGTGGGAAAACAGTTAAACAGACCATCTGCAGCGCGAGAATGAGAGAATGTGCCTCCTCATTCTTTACTTTCAGTTTCACTCTTTCGTGGATAAGGAAATGTGTTGTACGCACAGACATCCAGTAGCCTAGATAATTAAATTGGTTTGTTAAGCGCAAAGATTTGTTTCAAAACTATTTCTAAATTCTGTTCTAATTTCCAGCAAACGAATAAATGAACAGTAATAACAAAGTGTGGTCAAGTTATATCCAAACACATATGCAAAGCCCCTAAGGTCTAAAACCTGACAAGTGGACAAATCTGAGTTTGTTTTCAATAAAACTAATAAAATATAAATATACATATAATAAATAATACTGGTAATAATAATAACATTATAAAAAAAGCAAATTGTCATGAATAAACTGAAAAAGCCCCCTGAGATGAAGAAGGCATGAAAGCAGGGGTTTTTATATTTATGTAGAAAATAATAATTTTTGTATTATTGTAATTCTTTAATTCTTTTTCATTTGTAAAGATATTTGCATATTGCTGTACATCCTGTGTGTATTAAGCAATGTGTAAGTGATGCGCACAACTAACGTGCTCTGCACTAGACTTTAAACTTGCTCTGAGCTGGGCTTTTGTGCAGTCTGTTTTTGTTCTTCAAAATAGCAACGCACCAGCAATGCACCTTAACACACCTCCTTTTTTAGAGCAGAATGCCTATGGGCGCAATTATGAGCACAAATGCATTTGCTATTCAAACAGCATGCTGCAAAACCTTAAAATGATTCTTGCGTCCATCTGAAACCAGCAAACAACAAATGCGTCGCGCCTTGCGCCGCATTGCGACGGGTGTATGATAGGGCCCAATGACTTTGTGTAAATCGCTGCAAATAGCTGTAAAGAGATCATGTGTGAACTTGCAGCTTGTTCCTGCAATTTTCCAGAAAGACAAGTTACATTACCAGCCTATTGAAGGAACTCTGCTGTGCTGGATTACAA